GATTAAATGCGCTGATACGTCATTGTGCTGCTAAACACATAACGCTGAGTGGAGTGTTATTTTTGGGGTCCACTGGACATTGTGCACCCCTGATGTTGTGGTTAGTGATGCACTTGATGCCCTGCCATATCCAAGAGGAGGTTATAGAGCGTGGAGGAGTTAAGATCATGTAAGATGGTCAGAGGCAACAGGGAGTCCCGGTTCTGCACCGCTGCGCCCGGTTTGCTTTCTTAATGGAAAAGGCCTTGGATCTACAGGAACTCGGCAGGTTAACTTTGCCCCAGAAATGAATGTCTGGCTGATTTTATGATCAAATTTCAAATCAACACCTCTACAAATAGTGAACAAACAGATTTCAATAAATGCATCAGAAGTCCCACTGATTTCACTCTCAGAGCATCGACCAGCAGCTGGACGCTTCATCTCTGCTCTTTAAATGTTCATTTTTCTGTTTGGGCCTCTGAGCCGATCAGAGGTTTTCATCATGCAGACGGCCGCTCTCCACGCTGGAGCTCCAGCGTGGAGAGCGGCCGTCTGCTCTCCACGCTTTACACAGCTAGCTCCAGAGCCTGCGGGGCGGCTAGTACAAGAGAGCCAGGTGAGCTCATACCTGGGGGCGGAGCTACAGGTGGGCAGTGCTCTCTGGTCACCTCCGCTGGAACCTGATGCCCCTTCTTCTTCTTCTTCTTCTTCTGTGGTATAAAAGAGATAAACATGGAGGAGTGACTGAACAGAACCTGAATCATAAAGAGTGGGCCAAACGGAGCAGGATGAAAACGCTTCGAAAACAACATGGTTCAGGTGAGGTTCTGAGCTGAGATGAAACAACTGTTTGGGTTGTCATGATGGTGTGTGTGTGTGTGTGTGTGTGTGTGCTGACCTGACCTGTGTGTGTCGGTGTGTGTGTGCCTTCAGCTCTGTGGAGGCGGTGGGCGGAGCCTCCTCATCATGGACCGGATTGGATGCGCTCCTCGCTCTGCCATTGGCCAGGAAACTGAAACAGAGCGGGCAGCTGGTGTGAAGGTGCAGTTCCTGCTGTGACCACCAGGGAGCAGATTTGACCTTTTTTTCCACATTTCTTGGAAAATTTCAGAGGATTTTTAAAGTTGCAGGTCAGACCCAGAGATTGTACTCCAGTCAGAGTAGCATAACTTCAACATATTAAGCATTAATACATTAAGCTTTCATTGATCAAGTCTAAAAAGTACTTGGTAAAAAATATACTCAAGTACGGAGTAACTGATCTTAACACACAAATTCATGTCACCAGATACTTCTGTAAAAATTCTGGTATTTTAAAAACTAATACCAAAATATTTATTGTCGTCCACCAGGACAATTTGCTGCCCTCGATATTTCCTGTGTTTATTTTGGTCTTTGTTGTGACATTTGGTGTTGATTAGGGGTGTAGTATTACAATAATCTCATGATACAATATGATACACGATATTCTGCTCACGATACAACATGTATCACGATATTCGGCGATCGAAACGCTTCAATACACTTATAATTTTCTGAAAGATTTTAGAAGGACAGAGTGATTTTAGTGACATTTTGTGTTCCATAGACTTGAATTTAGTTAACTGAAAACTGATTAAAAGCACCAACACAATACCTGACTCTGATTGGACAGTCTAACAGTCTGCAGCTGGACAAAATGAATCAAAGACGCAGTGAGAGAATTAGTTTCTGTCATTTAATTCATGTGGATTTGACATAAAATTCAAAAGTTTAAACGGTAATCCAGGAGCAGAGTGGGGAGATTATCAGCCTCTGTAGACTCTCAATATGCAAATGATTCCACTTATGTTTTTTTTTCTTTTGGACACTGTGGCTGCATTTTGGAGTAAAAATGCAGCCACAAATGCAGTCTTTTGGACTATGGGGAAAAAGGCTTTTCTACCTTGGCTCCCGGAGTTAGCCGTGGCTGTTAGCTGCTTTCTTCTAACTGCTAAAGCAGTGGCTCCGCCTCACCACGTAGTGATCGACTCCCTGCAGCTACGCAGCGCCGCTATTCCCCTGCTTGTATCTCTGAGTAAGCTGCCTCTCAGACTGC